AAAAGCTTTAGAATAAAACAGTACATATGTACATATATAAATTGAGGCAACTTACCCAAACCAGACCATACTTAAATGCATCTGCCAGGGTTCTGTGAATAGCATGGCAAACATGCTCAACAGTAACACCTCGACGCAAGATAAGGCAGTCATCAAAGTCTGGTGGCTGTCCGGGTTTCTTGGTGTAAACTCTGATCAGAGCCAATTCCTCCCAAAGCTGATCAAGGAGGCCATCCAAATTCAGTTTCAAATTACAACTGTAAAAGTAGAAAGATTTAATGCACAAAGTAATTTTGTTTTGTTAAAGAAAATAGAAATATGACACCTCATACATAATTCATGTTGCACACTTACCTAACAACTACACTGTTGGGCTGCCTTGCAATTCTGTCAACTTCTTCAATTGAAATTTGATCAATCTTATTGTAACAATACAAGCAAGGTAAGTAAACACGGTTGTCAGAAATAACATCAATTAGATCTTCTGCACCACAGTCCTCCCTAAACAACACCTGGGCATTAAAAATTTTATACTCGTGAAGAATCATTTGCACCATTTTTTCATCAATCTTTGTCAGTGGGCAGGTTGAGTTGAAAGCTATACCACCTCCTTTCTTGATCTGAAATTAAATATAATGCACTCTCAGATACACATCATTAGGGAGACAAACATAAAAATGAGGGGACTTAAAACAAACCTTAAAGTAAATATTGGGTCTTCTTTTATTGAGTCGAATGCCAACAGATTCCAGTTCCTTTTCTAACAATGAACGATGAACATCTTTCTTTGTTGCATCTAACATCATCAGCACTAAATCAGCAGTGCGAGCAACAGCTATTACCTGAAGTAAAACAGATAGTGATATGGTAAGTCAACAAGAAGCTATATGTTTGGAGAGCAGTCTTGTGCTGCTGAGTTCAGAAAATAACTCAACATGAAATTAAGAACATCTAATTTACCTGTCTACCTCTTCCTTTTCCTTGAGCAGCACCTTCAATGATACCAGGCAAGTCAAGAAGCTGAATATTTGCACCCTTGTATTGGATGACTCCAGGAATACATGTTAAAGTTGTAAATTCATACGACGCTGCTTCACTCTCTGTGTGAGTGAGAGTGCTCAACAACGTAGACTGCAGGAAAATAGATCAAAATTTACCAAAACTCTGGTTTTTGAAATAACTTATGGTTTGAAAAAGATAACATTACCTTGCCGACGGATGGAAATCCAATTAAAGCAACTCTGGCATCTCCAGATTTTAAGACATCAAAGCCTTCCCCCTTTTCGGCTTTTTTGGAAGGCTCAAGGAGCTGAGACCGGTACTTTGCTAGTTTGGCTTTAAGAAGACCCAGATGGTATTCAGTAGCTGTAAAAAAAGTAAAATAAATACAGTGAGTAAAATCACATTTATGCATAGCATAGCAAGTAAAACAGAATTTTTTATTTCCTTGATTGATTGTTCACTACTCAACTGTGAGTGCAGCAAAAAATCTTTCGACAACTGTCAGCATGAGAACATACAATGACTGTGATATGGTAGAACACAGAGCTTAGTTGCCTCATGATTGAAATTAATTGAAATCATGACTCAAAGATTATTTTATTTTATTTTCAAAGAAATTTAGTCTGCTGGTCCAAGAATATATCCATGCAACAGATACATAACCCAAGTACCTTTGTTTTTCTGAGTCCGAGCGATTTCCTTCTCAATCTCAGAGATTTTCTCTAGGATACCCATTTTAACTTAAATTCAAGGGTCCCAGGATATCACACGGTCAAAGAGGTCGAAAGCGAAATAACAGAAATTGTTCAACATTTGCTAAATCAACAACCAGACCAGAACACCGCACCGCACTGCTGGCGCTGGCAACGGCAGTTCTCCCGCATGTACGATTGGTTGGACACCTGCCACAGCAGCCAACAGTAGAACACGGAAACACAGCTGAACTTTGACTGAATTCAAAATGATCTTTGCTTAATCAAATAATGTGAGTAAGGATTTTCGTTTTCAAAACCATGTGTATCAAATTAAAAATTCTACAAGTGTGTATGTAAGGCAAAATCACTTGGTTTTCCCATCTAGCCAACTGAATTATTTTGTAAATAATCTCAGGGCAGATCCCAACGAAAAGTGACAAATCCAGCAACCATCGTGGAATTCCTTTCCCTTATTTCTTTTTGTAACTGGATGTTCTAGCTCTAGCTTGAAGACCATTGTAATTTTTCGACGTAGAAAAAGGAGACTGGTACCTGATCTTGGCTTTCTTGCAAGCATCTAGCAATGCCACTTTTCACAAACAAATTTTCTCCTAAAAAAATACCCGGGCGCAAGACAGATCCAAACTTGTCAAGGGCTGTTGATCCTTCAGATTCCCAAGAATTTGGAACAGATATAGGTCCCATTAAATTACGTCTTGGAGATCAGGAAGCAGTTTTTGACAATGGTCAATGGATACCTGGTAAGTTGTCGCATCCACTTTCAAGAAAATTTCAATGTATCTAATTTGATTTCCATGCTCAATTTTAAAACTAATTCTGGCATTGTAATTATGTTTTAGAGACTGGGCCTGTCAGTGGAAAGCATAAGGAAAACGAAAAACTTCGCCAAGCTATTAAACGGCTTGAGGATGAAAACAGCATGCTTAAGTTGAGAGCTGAAATTCTTTTGGACATGGTATTAATACACACAATAATTTGTTTTGAAAAAAACAATTTAAAACTACTCAAATTATTCATTTGATTTTTGCCTTGACAGCTCACTCAAACAACAGCTGAATCCCATCTACAACTGAAAGAAATCAATAAGCTCAAGTCCTCTGGTAGTAAGACTTCAAATTTTAAGCGATAAAAGAATATAGTAATTTTAATTCACAAGAATTCTTAGATTCTTAAGATAATGGGACCATTGCTTTATAAAAATCAATAACCACACTACCTATAGCTTTAAAAATAAACAAACAGAGATAAAAGAAAATGTGTTACATTTATTCATGTACGGTACAAACAACTCACACAAATAGTTTCCAAATATTAGCTTGTTATTTGAGAGGTTGTTGAACTGTTTCCAAGAGTTTCATTTTTACTGTACATAATTGATAACTTTTTTGCCTTGGATTTGCAAGCAGCTGGCAGATTAGAGTCCTTTTCTATTTCAGCAAGCATCTCTTGAACATCTTTAGCAAGTCCCTGCTGAATTGTATAATCATGATGATACAACCACTCCCACAATAACAGAATTCTTAATGTACCATCAGTAAGTGAACTTTTTTGGAGGTCAGAATAAACTTTAGGTATAGTTGATACTAATTGTAGGTAACCAGCAGTTGTACACCTGTGAAACGAGAAAAAGTTATTATAATTATTAAACCTCTGATAAAAACCTGTTCAATGCAGTACTGATTCTTTTTTAATGGTGAAAGAAACTAACTTGGCACATATTTCATCTAGTTCATCTATGGATGGCAGACCTGCTCTCTTACTGAACTGTGTGATTTCTTTAAGCACTGTAAAGTGTGAGTCATCTACCTGTGAATTTTCGTTTCTGTTGGGACAGAGAAAAGCATTAGTGACAATATGTGGAACACATTTAAGTCAGAGGATCTATTGTTGTATCTTACAAGTCTTGGAAACTATTAGAAGCATCAAGATGCATGCTAACAGCGGCAACTTCTGATGAGTAATCCGGTAATGTTTGAGATCGGAGTTCTTCCTCATGTTCGTCTTCATCAGATTCCCAACCCCCACCCGCCTTGCCCGGAACGTGATCTAAACAAACAAAAGTTTTAGAGAAAAAAACAAACAGAAGGTTCTATATTTACCTTATTTCTTCATGTATTAAATAATAATATGTACTTTTTATGAATGGTGCTTTAGTTGTAGGAATTGGAGCAGTAAAAACTGGATCTACTAGTGTTCCTGCGACAGCAACAGGCTGATAATCGCCAGGAGAACTGTGCAAAGCAGCTCTAATAACTTCACTAGTTTGTTCATCTGTTGGATGAATGAGGCGTCCAAAGTAGTCTAGCATCTTGTTTGCAACAGTCCCTAAAGCAGCCAAATAAGAAAAAAAATCAGTGAACAATATTTAAGTTTTTGTATATCTTGTTTCTTTAAAAAGAATTATGACTACCCTCTCTCTCCTTGATACTGTTTCCAAAGCCTTCATATTTTCCTCCCCCTCTAGCCGTGGATCCCATACCGCCCATGAAAACAGGCGAAGGTTCTCCTGTTTCTAATCCATTTGCTCCATTTTCCTCCTCTTTCATAGCTTCTGAATTGAAAAGAAGTTCCAAAGTGTCCTGTAACATAATAGATAAAGCAAAATTAGCATGCTGTGTGTCAACGGTCTTTTCAAAAAGTTAAAATCTGGAAGGAAACTAACTTGAGCTAACTTCTGCACATCCTTGTACTGGGTATTCCCCATCAATGGATCAGCAGGACCACTATGAAGAACAGCATTCTTGATTGAACCATCATTTAAACGGAGCTGTTGCCTGAAGCTCACATGACCAGTGCCAATGACATAGATGATGATCTTTAAAACCTGTAAAAGAAAATTACTTCAAGAAAATAATGTTGCACTTCTGAGACGGACATCGTTTTCAAGAATAGAAAAAGGCTACCTTGATTTTAACAGGCGTTGTGGATTTGTTAAGTCTATGAATAAGATAATCAACAAGTTGGTTACTAGATGATGTAGATTGGAATGTGATTTCTAAGCAGTGTTAAGGATTCAAACAAAAATACAAATTTTCTTACTAGGCTTCAATTTCAGCTTTTACAGCTGAAAATCAATTGAAAATTAATAATTGTATTTGAAAAAATTAAAAATCATCCACAATGGCAATTGTTGTCAAAAGTTGGTATAGCACTGGCAAACATCACTAATCACTAATTCCGTAATTTCGACAAAGGATACTTGTAATTTCATCAAGCAGGTAGCCTGAAGTGGGTTCTCCATCATCAGCAGTAGCTTGAGTCAATCTTGGAAGCTGCAAAATTAAAGCAGAAAATATGTTGACACGTAAAATTAAAACTTTACAGCGCTTTTAACAATGCAGGGCCAGAATACATACATAGTTGACAAAAGAGGCTTTCCCTGCTAATTGAGAAAACATCCTTTCTCAGAACTGGAATTGGTTAATTCCTGAGATGGATAAAAGTTTCTTTTCTGCTTTGTTTTTGTTGTTGTTGGTTGTTACTTGTTCATAGTTGAAGTTGAAATTCAACTACTCTGGTATTCGAAAGGGAGAAACGAGACTACAAAATGAGAAATTTATTAACCTCTCCACTGACAGATTGCATAAGGAAGAAGCAGAAGACGTTAGAAAAGTTCGAAACATGGCTCATGTGAGTTCATTGTTATTCTCACCGGTAGCAAACAACATCTCGAAAAAATTGATTTTATCAAACGCAGCCCCTGCTATTAGTTCTAACCTCATTCAACGATGTTATCTCTCCTCTGCTGGAAGTCACAATTACGACATCATCATTGCTGGAGGAGGGTTAGTCGGCACAGCTATGGCTTGTGCCTTGGGCTGCTCTAAAATACTGTCAGAGAAAAAAATATTGTTGCTGGAAGGGGCACCACCCAAACCCATCACCCTTAAAGATACTTATAGCAACAGAGTTTCAGCAATAAACAATTCGTCTGTTGGACTTTTTCAAGATATACAAGTATGGGATGACATCAAGGGTCATCGAGTTCAAGAAGTTAGAAAAATGCAAATTTGGGATGCTTCATCACCTTCACTCATAACGTTTAGTGACGAAGATCTGTCTAAGCCAGTAGCCTACATTATAGAGAATGATCTCATGCAGTGGGCTTTAACAAAACGACTGGGTGATATTCCAAACAGCTCTGTGAGATATAGTTCTAAGATCAAAGATTATGTTCTGCCTAAGTCTTCTAGCTCAGATGTACCCCTGGTTATTCTTGAGAATGATGAAAAACTTACCTGTAATCTACTGATTGGAGCAGATGGAGTTAATTCAAAGGTTCGCTCTAAAATGGTTACATCAGTCCAAAGAACAGATTATAATCAAATGGGAGTCGTGGCAACACTTAGTATCTCTGACTCCACTAATAATATAGTTGCATGGCAGAGATTTCTCCCAGATGGAGTAATTGCTCTACTTCCTTTATCGGAATCAACTAGCTCTCTGGTGTGGTCAACATCTGTAGAAAAAGCAAAATCCCTTGTCAATCTCCCTGAGGAGTCTTTTGTTGATGCTGTAAATGATGCTTTACTGAAAGAGTATCCATCTAACCCATTTGTAGAGTCTCTTCTTAAAAATCTAAACCTTGCTGCTAGTGTAGATTGTCAGATTCCCCCGAGTATTAAAGATGTACAGCCCAACAGCAGAGCCGCATTTCCCTTAGGGTCAACCAGTGTGTCGCGGTATGTGAACAGTTGTGTGGCCCTAATTGGTGATGCTGCACATCGAGTGCATCCTCTAGCAGGACAAGGTGTCAATATTGGTTTTGGTGATGTCGACTGCCTAGCTCACCAACTAGAGAATGCAGTGTATCAAGGTTACCAACTTGGAAGAGGTCATCATCTAAAGATCTATCAGTCAGAAAGGCTCAAGAATACCTTGCCAAAAATGAAAGCTATTCATTACTTGCACTCTCTCTACCAGTCATCATTTACCCCCATTGTAGCTTTGAGAAGTGTAGGACTGTCATTAGTTCACTCTATGCCATTTGTGAAGAAAGAACTCATCAAAAGAGCAAATCTCTAGACCCCACTCAACTGTTGTAAAGTCCTGTAAATTGTTTTGTTTTAAAAACATTGATATTATATCCTTGCAAACACTTTTGTTTACGTATTCTGTTTTGAATTATATTTACCTATATAAATAAGTAGACCCTTTCTTTATTTCAATTTGTAGCACACAGAAAGTTAAAAAGGCGAAGTGAAGTAGATTGGCTTTTAATGCATTTTAATCTAACACATAAACATAAGATTGTTCGACTAGGTAATTTACAGCAAATGATTTTTATGTTAAAATTAAAAGCAAAGCAAAATCATAACTAATATAAGTTGGTCCTTCTTTTACAGTGCTAATTAAATATTGCTGAATACAAATAAGACAACATAGTATAGAGCAAAAAATTAATATTACACAGCACTAATGGAAAACTATTGTAACATATGAAAAGTAACTGTAATCATCAACCAAGAATGTGACAACTATTCAATGCATAAACAAAGCATAAAGAATAGAAGGGAAGGATTCAAATTATATGCTAACAGTGTCATGTAAGCTACACATTGCCACACAACTGGGAAAACAATACCTTCCCAAAGAGAAGTAACTTATCACATGAGGTATAACTAAATATATTAAGGTAGAAGGATAGATTAAGAAAAAGGTAGTCAAAGGCTTCTGTAGCCATAGGTATGCCATATAAAAGAGCCTCAAGACTGTGCTCTAAGAAACAAATGCAAACAACTCTCACATAAATACATTACAATTAAAAAGATATTTTTAAAGGGAAAATACTGAGGCTGCAAACCTTATCACCACACAAGGGAAACAAGAGAAAAAAAAAGTCTTGCTCGATATGAATGGAAGAAAGACAACTAACGGTGGACAACGAGAGAAAGAGCAAGGCCAACAAAGAAACCAGCATGGAAAATATGAGTAGAAGTTAATTCAAATGAGCCATCTTCCTTGGTCATAGCATTCCACCAACGGCGAGCTTTCCGCTTGTTACTGCGTAGGGATTCTTCTGCCTTATCCAGCTTTCGGTCCACAAATCTTTCCATCTGTAAGCAAATAGAAAGAACAGCATTAAAATTATTACTATATGACAAATTGTTTCAAATAGATAACAACAACAAAAAACTCTAGATTTTTATCAAGAATGGTTGCAGGTTGCAAATAATTTGATGCTGTTAAAATTGTTTCAGAACAGAGAAAAATTTGCAATATGTACTCCCAGGATAAGAGAAGTCAAGTTAGAAGTCCACAACTCCACATCTACATTTGCTCAATTTCATTTGAAAATAAATCAGAGTTTCTGAGAGTATCATAAGGCATCTGAGAGCAGATCTAAAAATCTTACCTAAGCTTAAACTACATTCAACTAAAGGCCATCAATTGGTGAGGTTGAGCATCACAAACAACAGACTTTTTACGAAGTTGCCACACCAATCAGAAAGCCTCCAGCAAAGCCAGCAGCCAGGTAAGAATTCTTGGATGCATACTCCTTTACCTAAGAACATACATTTAAATAAAGATCCAAACTAACACAATAAAAGAAAAGAATGGTTAGTGACAATATCTATAGATGTCAAAGGTTAGATACCTTGTCCATGAAACCTGGTCCCTTTCCAGTGGCTTCTTTTTCAATCTTGTCTGAAGCCTTATCCACTTGACGACAAACTTTGTCCCAGTTGATGTTGATGTAGCCTTTATGAGCAGCTAGTTGAAGAAGAAGAATACCACCCCCAGCAGCTACAGCAGCAACTTTGCCAACTTTCATTGCAATGTAACCTGTGCACCTAGAAATTCATTGAAATTAAATAATTTGTTGATACGTCAATTGATAGTTTAAATGTATTCTTAATCAAACTAATATACCATCCAGATGCAGTGCCAATCGCAATTTGATGAGTAGCCGGTGCTTTACCGACATCTTTCACGATTTTGTCGATGATGCCCTTTGCTTCTTTCTTGACATCATCTACACTTATCTCATCTTCAGCAGGTTTGCTTCTAGGGATCGGCATTTTCAAGCCTTTAAGTCTGAAATTCAAAGGGGCAAAAATGAATAATTGAATTAGGCTTGTAGTGACTCATGACATGCATGCCTTTCAGGTTCTAGGATTCTGATATCAGCCATTGGTCTCCTCTGTGCATAACATCATCAACATTTATAGAGATTTTTGATGGCCATCAAGGCTGTTGAAAATGTACAGCACAAAGGGAAGGTAAAATGATTGCATCAGTAATACAGACTTGTGGAGATGGATCAACGTGAAAGAATAGCAACACGGAGAGGGTCGAATGACCTTACGTTCGCGTGAAATTAAAATCACTGAACAATCAGTCTTACATGCTAAAAACATATATGCAAGAAACAAGACTCAACATTACCTTTTCACGAGATTCTTCAGCTGGCTTTATGCTTCGGAAGCCTGGGCGTGCGTTATTTGCAGACAATAACAAAAGACAAGTGACAGTTGGATGTGTACTGCATATAAAGGCATCACGCTTATACGCAGGGAAGAGAAGAGGGGGCTCCAATCTTTGTCAACGGGCAAGCAGAATTATTTATCCGTGTGTTTTAAACTTTTAAATTCGTTTGTAATAGTGTGTATTTTTACCAATCTGAAGTTATGTCATGTCCATGCGTTTAAGGAAGTTTAGCCATGGCTGTCACGTAGACGTTATGAATGGTTTTAGTCTTCTTTTAAACTCTTGAGGTTGTGTTGTGTGTGTAATTTGAGCCAGTTTCAAGTGGTTTCAAGTGACATTGGCTCGGTTTTCTCCTTTAAAAATGCCTTTCGGTCTAAAACCAAAATGTTTCCAATGTCAAAAAACGGACTCTTTTATGTGGAGGAAAACGGAGGATGGTTTTATTTGCAATGAATGTGTGGAACAGCAGCGAAATGGTAAACTGAGAAGCAGCCGTGATCAAGCATCAAGTAGATCATCAGTTGACAATGACCCTAAAAATGCAAGAAAAAGTACCCGTACTACCAGAAATTATAAGACTAGATTGAATCCATTTGCCTTACCTAAACCGTACTCTCCCAAAGGCAAGGGTCGAAGAATAATCTTCAAAAAAACTGTAAGCCCAAAGCAACCTAGCCTTGTATCGAATGTTTTCCAACCTTATTTTTTATTTGTAAATTCTCTTTTGGCAGCCTCAGAAAGCTCCAGGAGCTGTAACATCACCCGTCACAAGCAATTATGTTTTTCACAAGGTAATGTTTTGTTTTTAGTTCACTTGCTTTAGTTGTGATAGTTATTACTTTTTTAACCACACATTTCTTTGTTCCACTTTGATTATCAGGGCAGCTATATCCAAGTTGGCGACATTGTTTCTCTTCAAGATGTGGATGGTGGCATTTATTATGCTCAAATACGTGGTCTGCTGACTGATCAGTATTGTGAAAAGAGTGCAGTCATTACATGGCTGATCCCCACCACTGCCAGTCCTGATCCTGATGATGGCTTTGACCCCGCATCTTATGTTATTGGTGAGGTTCTACAAATTCAATATACTTTTTACTGAGCATTTCTAAGGGTCCAGTATTCAATAATTACCCATTTTGCTTGATTTAGGGCCTGATGAAGATATTCCACGAAAATTAGAATGCATGGAGTTTGTTATGCACGCGCCATCAGACTATTATAAAGCTCGTAATACACCGTATCCCCCAACAAATCCTCCTGAGACCAAGAACTCCTTCATTTGGATGAGATTAAGCTTGAAGCCACCTAAGCCAAGCAGCAAGACTGAATAAATTTATAGAATGTTAATTCGTTATCATTTTTGGTCTTCCTTTTTCAGCATACTGGTAGAAGGTAAATTAGGTAAGAGGAAAAATATTTTAGAACAATTACAAATTATACTATTGGAGAGCCATCTATTTCAGATGCACATTACAGGAGTGACAGGTGTTCCAAGCGAACATGTAGTTAAAATCAGTTTGTGATGAGGAATTGAACATTTAAAAGGCTCCTAGAAATATAAAGAAACTTCCAACCATCTATAGAGCAAGATTGTTGGCCAGGGAGCAGGAAAGACCAGTGCCATCAGGTTCAACATTCAAAGTTTTAACCACACCTGATTCAACAATCATAGAGAACCTCTTGGACCTGACGCCACCTAGGGGAGGGAGATCTTGATCAAGACCCAATTCCTTGGTAAGCTGGGCACTGGGATCGGCCAACATGCGAACCTATAATAGACATGAAAGGTAGAGTAAATTCAACTTCAATTAATGAACACACAGCAAGTGGTTTAATCGTGAAAATGCTGACCTTTCCGTCCGTTTTATGAGCCTGTCCCCATGCATCCATAACAAATGCATCATTCACAGAAATGCAAACAATTTCGCTCACACCCTGGGATTTGAATTTATCAGCATCAGCAATATAGCCGGGTAGATGAGTCTGGAAACCGAACATAATTATATGTCAGGATAAAATTCATCAAGTTAAATGTAATTGATGTAGTACCAATGATCACAATTACCTTTGAGCATCCTGGTGTAAAAGCTCCAGGAACTCCAAAGACAACAACTTTTTTCCCCTCGCAAAGTGATGCAAAGTTCACTTTATTTGCTGGGGTTTTCTCATAGAGATCTACACTTGGAACCTTATCTCCAACCTAGAGGACAAAATGAAATTTAAACACCATTTAGTGAGTACCTCAAATGTGGACTTTTATGAAAGTTCCTTGAAAGAGACTTCAACAAGGGTACAGAGTACACATACTGTGCAAAGAATACTTAAATGGGAATTAAATCCCTTCTAAGTGCACAACAGACAGGAATATTCGGCACCGACTACTGGTCCTCTGTTACGGCGTGGTGTATCACGCCACGGGTAACATGTATTATCGCACCAGTTTCGTTAATCAATGCTCATTGAACTCGCCGCCTCGCTCTAACCTGGTGGGGCCGTCGATACTCACTTTGACAGGCATGTTGAGAGATGTGGAGGAATGTAACGAGCGGGCACAAACGTTGAGAGCGTTCCGGCCGATGGACGAACGGAATGCGGTCTGAATCGATTGCATTGGCGAGGCGTATGTTTAATGCACGGCACGGCGGACAGGGTGCTCTCCTGTCTTGTCTTTAACTTCCAGTACGACCTTGACCGTCCCGCCCTCTCGTAAAATGCCTTGCTTTTCTTTGTTTTTTCCTCGCTTCAATATATTCCGGTGATTTTCCTTATTTCGTGTCAACGTGCATTTCTCATAGGTTTGGCGGTAGCCTCACTTGCGCCCCTAACTCTAAGAGCACGCCGGAAACGCGGCGATCGCGCGAGATTTTAAATTTCCTCGCTGTACCGCGCGCGAGGATCCCGCGGGTCGGGGCACGGTGTTATTGCCACCGCACGCGAGCACAACGCTCTTGATTCTCGTCGCACCCCGTTCGTCTGGTGGTACTCAACCCGGGCCTCCCGAGCCCAACCGCGCGTTCAGAGTACTTTGGCCGCTCGCCACGCTCCGCCGACCATCCTGCCGCGGGGGTGAGTCTCTCTAGCCTCCCTCCTCCCCCGCGGAGCCGGCGGCGACGGCGCCTTTCGCGCGGAGCAGAGCTAGCAGAGCGGTATCGACCCGCCACGCCGCGCCACCCCCGCGGCGCGGTAGTGCGGCGGCGAATGCCGGTCCGGACCGGCAGGACCAAAACAGAAGTGCAAGTCGTGTCGTGCTCGCCGTGCCTCACGTCACGACTGAACGCGTGTGCTCCGCGAGCTCGGCGTGCTCTATACGTGCTCCGCGCGCGCGAGGGGCCGACGCGGCCAGGGCCGACGCGACCGACACTCTGGCCACGGCACGCTCGTGCGTGTCGACGCGGGGTGCAGCTGCGCCGGCAGCTGCAGGTGGTGCGGGGACGAGATGGCCGACAGCGAGAACGACAGCGAGAAGGATGCTGATGGTGAGTTTGGCGTGTTGTTGCAATACGCCAGTTGAGGCCCGAGTTGATTTGTCTTTGTTCGCTGTCATTTGGTTGAATTGATCGGCTTAATTAGCGCAGCTGTTCTTGGGGGAACGTGGTCGAGGCTACATGGCAAGTAGAGCAGTTTCGTAGCGGTCAGGCGGTGCCAGTAGTTACTATACAGGGTGGCTCGGACCATGTCGTAGTTATATTGTGCCGTGTGCAGGCGTGTGGTCGGGTTGCCTACTCGCAGTCGCACGGGAGCATAAGGCGCCGTGGTCAGAGACGGTAGGCGAGCCGGGCTCGCACGTGCGGCATGCGGTACAGTACAGCTACGAAATTGTCTGGAGTATGCACGGGCCACCCTGAGTTTGAAGGAAGGATCGTGAAATGGGATTGCGCGGTTGCGCTGCTGTGGTTGTGACATTATGCGTGCTCGCCACGCTGCCGCACGCGTGTCACAGGCAAAGGGTCTGCTAAAACAACCCCCCGGCCCGGCCTGCGCTCCTCGCCTCGAGATGGAAATAATGTGGGGTGGTTGTGCAAGGGGGTCGTTGCAGTCGTGAGTCTTGCGCAAAGCTCAGCAGTTGCAGCAGCACAGCGCAGCAACAACAAGGGGCTCCTCCTCCTCTCCCTCCCCTCCGGCCCGCCCATCACCACCCCATGCCCATGCGGCAGAGCGGAGCGGCTCACCCTTTGTCCCCGGGGAGTCACGTCTCCACGCCCTCCAGTGAATGGCCAGGGCCGATGACTGCAGAGGGCGTTTAGCAGCTCTCTGCCTCGGCTCTGCTGTATGAACGCGTGTGGACTGCTCCGGACCCGGGGGCTGGGGCTGCGAATGGCCTCTGCTGTCTCCCTCTCTCTCTGTCGCCCCCTTTTTGTCGCGACTCGAAGAGTGGGAGGGACAGAGAGCGAAAATATAGAGTATTACGCCATGCGATCGATAGGGCAATAGCCTGTGGACCTCATCCCATCCCTCTCCCGCCCTCCTCCTCCTCCCTCTCCAGAGCCGTCCCGCCGCCCCGCGCCGTCCGGCGGCGCTCCGGCGGCGCTCCAGCGGCGCTCCAACATCCCCGCAGAGATCACAGAACACACGGCCCCCACAAGGAGGGAAAGGGGTGGGGGGAGGGGATATCGACAACGTTGGACCTCGCCGTGGTTGCCCCCTCGCACCTGGGGGGAGAACTTGGTTATTTCAATTATTCATTGCCCCACCGGCGTGAGCCCTGCACAGGTTTAACCCCGAGGATCAAGCAAGGATGTACTTTCTAGCGACATCTCAGAGATAGATTTCGGACACCACTTTATTGTTATTGGGCCAATAAAGCTCCCCGGACTCATAAAGAATGACGAAATGAAATCACACCACGCTCCCCGCTTAGGTTCTTCGGTAACCCCTGCCTTTTGATCAAATAGTTTCCAGAATTAGCTTTGTTGGTACGACCCAAACACGAGGTCTTTGAGCGCTGATCACTGACCACCACCACCACCCCCGCACGCGCCGAAGCTGTGTGTTTGCGCGAGAGCAACTATTGACTCCGGCGGCAGCGAGGCCGGCGCGGCTGCGTGTGCGTGTGCTCGTGACCCAGGAAGCTGATGGCTCCCTAGTCTCAATGAAACGCGTGGTGTGGCGCCGTGGCGGGGCGGGGCGCGGCGCAGCGGGGTAGCGAAGGGCCGCGCGGGGGAGGAGGAGGCGCACCCCTTGGTATATATCGCCGCGTTGCCACGTTGTTGAAGCTCCCCCGCCCCCGCCGCCGCATGCACCGCTGATGTCCAACCAACCCTCCTCGCCGCCACACTTTATTGCCTCGCTCACCGCCTGCCGTCGGCCGAGTGGGGCAAATATTTAAAAAGGCCTGTGGTGGCGGTGAGTCCGGTACGGCAGCCGGCACCACGATGACCTCAGGTCACCCCCCGGCGCGGCGGGGGGTTGAACTCGCGACGCTCCCGGTCAGAGCTGGGTTTTTAGTAGCGTTCCGCACGGATTGTCCGGTTGAGGGTTTTTAGGCCAACAGCAGACCTCTTTTCTTCCGACCCACCGACGATTTACCTTGAAGTTTGTTTGTTTGTTCGTCCAGGAATGCGCCTCTCCTGGCCGAGTGTGTACCTACCCGGCGCGCCCAGTCTGCTGGGGGAAGAGAGCCCCCCCGGGGCCGCGGCCAGCCCCGCCGGCCACGCCCCGCAAGGGCAGCAGCGGGCGCAGCGCCCCGCAGACAGCGCGACCACTCCCAAGCCAGTGTCCACCCCGGTGCCGGCGAAACGGACGCCCGCCCCCGCGACGGAAAAGTGCCCCGGACCACCGACACCCGCGCGTCGGGCGCGCCCGCCTCCCGCACCCGCGGCGACCTCGGCGACGGCGACGGAGCCCGAGTACGTGACGGAGGCGCGGCAGTGGCTCATGGAGACGGACATTGACGCCCAGTGGCGCCGGATGTGGCAGCCGGCACCCCTCGAGACGGACCTTGACGCGGTGCTGGCAGGGCCCGGGAGCGTGGCGCCGCCCCCGCGGTCCAGCACGCTGCCCCCGCCCACGCGCCGCCAGCTGAGGGTGTTCCTGGAGACCGACCTAGACGCAGCGGGGCCGCCGCAGCCACCCCTGCGCCAGCAGCCCGCGTCCTTCGGACTCGCCGCCCGCACCTGCTCGTCCAAGGAGACGGACATTGACCTGGCGCCGACGCCCAGCCCCAGCCCGCGGATGTTCCGCACCCTGCCGCGCACGCGGTTCGTCCGGGAGACGGACGTGGATGAGGCCATGGGCTTCACCAGGCGCGCGCCCGAGTCCTCGGTCGACACCGTCTGCTCCGAGGGACCCACGCCGTCGCGCCGGACGGTGGCGGGCACGTTGCCGGTCGACAGCGACGCGACGGCCGCGCTCAGGAGCTCCACCGAGAGGACCTTCACGGAGACGGACCTCGACGACGACCCCATCCGCCCCCCGGCGCCGCCCCGCGCCTTCACCTACGCCCCCGCCGCCCCCGCGCCGATGCCGGTGCCGCCGCGGCCCCTCCTCAGGCCCGAGCTCATACTCAGGCCGCCGCAGCCATCGCGGCCCTCCGACCTGCTCGTGCCGCCCCTGGGGCTGCTGGGGCCGTCCACCTCCCACATGGGCAGCGGCACCATGAGCGGGCTGGGCAGCGGGCTGGGGAGCGGGTTAGGTAGCGGCCTCGGAGGGAGCGGACTGGGGTTGGGCAGCGCCAGCGCCAGCGGCCTGGGTAGCGGCCTCGGCCTCGGCGGGGGGGTGTTCACCCTCAACCCCAGCATGCTGGACTCCGACGTGGACGAGTCGGAGCTGAGAAGGGTGCTGCTAAACGACGTGAGTATACGTACTTTCCTGCCTGTGCCTGACTCCTTGCCCATAACCTTAGGTTTAAATGTAACACTTTCTTAACTTGGTGCGTTCCTTCTCGTGTTTCAGAAATGGAGACAGCTCTTTGACAAGGTAATTTGACTTTAGCCCGCACTCATCCACTCTTCACTGAGGGGGAAAAAAAAGTTAGTGTTTCCGCCCGGGATCGAACCGGGGACCTTGTGCGTGTGAAGCACACGTGATAACCACTACACTACGGAAACTGGGATGAGGAGTAGCGCCGCCATGACAGTACACAAGGGAAGACCTCTCCCTCTCCTCGGCCTAAGGTCTTCGTCGCGCGGGGTATACGCGCGCACCGGCCACCGCGCGTTGGCGCTCGAGTTCACTCGTTCGACGACAGGTCGCGCTCCGAGCCGCATTGGGTGTGGTGTAGCTGGTGGTGGGGTAGGGAAGGCGATGAGGGAAGGTCTCTCACCTCAGCTTTGGCTTTGATTTCAAATTACTGTTAAAATTAGCAAGATAAGAAAGAAAACAATAATTATTTTTTGCAATGCCAATCACGGAATATATTGGATGCTGGATGGTGGAGCGATCATTTTCACTCTTGTCGTAAGCAAAGTGTCTTACGAACAACCCCCATCTTTTCCTTGCCCTTACAGTACGACCCGGAAGGCTTTGGCGAGATCCCTTGGGAAGACTTCGAGAAAGTGCTTCACGATCACGAGTTCTGCCTGGTGGTGCCGGCGAACAAGAGGCTCATCCTGGCGGAGAAGGCGGCGGAGCGCAAGACCACGGCCATCACATTCCAGGACTTCGTCAACGTGGTGAGTGCAATGATTACGGGGGGGATGGTGGAAAAGGACTGG